GTTAGGGTAGGTAAGGTAAGGTAAGGTAAATGTGTTTTTAATCAACAGGTGAAATAAACTGGGGGTGTCTAATCCTCACATGATCATAAAACAATCACCCCACCCCCAACGATATTAAATTTTTCTGCAAGTCATCAAAACAAACCCTCGAAGAAGTTGACATTAGTTCGAGAGATGGGTTAGAAAAAAAAGGAACCTGGCTTTGTTTATTTTCGTTCAGTCAATAGTTCAACCTGTTATTAAGCAGAGAGAGAGAGAGAGAGAGAGAGTTTGCGCTCGCTTATAAAACTTCTGACGGCTTTACTGAACCGAGAAATCTGACTTAACTTTCGACCCCTAAGAACAGCTGATTGAATGTAAACAAACCCTCCCGCCCGCCATCTTTATCCGTGGCTGTGTCGACATCTTGGTATTTTTATTCTTATTGTATTTTTTTATTTTTTTTATGTGGGGATTCTTGTCATTTTAAGAACCTAAGATACAATACGAGCAACAATACAATCAAATACATCTGAATTGTATGAAATATATTAATAATTTACGCATTTAGGGGACACGGGAATGGTGATGGTTACGTGTAAACAAAGAATGTCTCACAAAGCCACTAATCCTACGGTAATGTTCTTCTGTTCTTTCCCTGTGAGGTATTGACTGTCACACAAGCCCCAGGCCAACCTACTCCGCCTCGCTGACTCACCGTGTACATACCCTTAGTGACGTACGTGTGTGTGTGTGTGTGTGTGTCGATGATGATGATGATATAGAACAGAAAAAAATAAGAGGATGACGATGAAGAACAAGGAGGAAGGAGGAAGGGGAGGAGGAGGGAGGTGGAGGTGGAGGAGAAGGAGGAGGAGGAGGAGGAGGAGGAGGAGGAGGAGGAGGAGGAGGAGGAGGAGGAGGAGGAGGAGGAGGAAAACACCGGTTGACTCCCTCGAGGTGTTTACCAGATATTATACATCCATATTAATGAATTAACCTAAGGCATTAATCAAGCGAGGGACCGCGATGGTGCGCACCTGCCATGGGAAGCAACACCTGTATACCTTGAAATATCTGTAACTTACCTATAATACCTGTACTGTAACACTACTACCTATAACACCTGTACTGTAACACTACTACCTATAACACCTGTACTGTAACACTACTACCTATAACACCTGTACTGTAACACTACTACCTATAACACCTGTACTGTAACACTACTACCTATAACACCTGTACTGTAACACTACTACCTATAACACCTGTATTTTAACTGATGTACTACCCAATACCTACAGCACAGTACAGTATTACAGTACATTCACCCGGCACATAGAAAGTCAGGTCACGATTGATTCTAACAATGACCGTGACCTCTCCTGACCTTTCGTGTGAACAAGGAAGTCTGGCGCCTTAGGGACGGACGGGTGTGCATTATTGAAGGGTCTGGGGACACGAGCGTCACGTTATGGTCCAGGAACCTCTATTGGTGTTTATAGCCGCAAGACCATTTACCATAGACTCCCATTCTCGTCTTATATATATTAACATTAACCATCGCTGCTGAATGAATTTGGTCCGCAACACACACACACACACACACACACACACACACACACACACACACACACACACACACACAGAAAAATCACGACCAGAGAGAGAGAGAGTAGAGTAAGGTGTCATTAGTGGCAGACAGACACAGACAGACAGAGAGCATCAAGGTGTGGCTATCATCTGTGTACCTGGCCCGAGGATCTAATTACCTGCAGACAGTGGACCAAACACACCTGGATGTGACTCTTGCTTCTGAGGATAACGAAGAGGAAGTGGCGCTGTGGAGTGTGGATAGTGAGTGCCCTTCGTCACCCTCACCCCTCCCAAACCTCCCTCACCCCTGCCACACCTCCCTCACCCCTGCCACACCTCCCTCCCACACGCCTTCACCCTCCCTCCTCAGCCCCTCCTTCACCCCCCACCGTCCCCCTCAGCCCCCTCCTTCACCCCCACACCGTCCCCTCAGCCCCCTCCTTCACCCCCCACCGTCCCCCTCAGCCCCCTCCTTCACCCCCCACACCGTCCCCTCAGCCCCCTCCTTCACCCCCCCACACCCCAGCTGGTTTATTGCCTGGCTCAAGATGGGGTTTTATCGGTTTCACTGTGATTTATTACCATCCAATAACCCGGTTTAGGAATTTAAAAGCTGGCAAGTACATGTAAAGTGTGTGCTTGGAGAACACTTGTGTCGGGGCTGCTGCTGGTGTTGGTGTTATTGTTGGTGTTGTTATAGTCTTTGTTGGTGGTGGTGGTGTTGTTGGTGTTGTTATAGTCTTTGTTGGTGGTGGTGGTGTTGTTCTTGCTATTGTGTTTGTTGTTGTTATTGATAGTGGCGGTAGTGTTTTTGTTGTTGTTGATATTAATGATGGTGGTGTTGTCAGTGGTATTGTTATTATTGGTATCGTTGTTTACTGTTCTTGTTATTGTTTAGCTGCAGTGCCGTTGTTATTGTTTTCGTCATCACACAACCTCGCTGGAGATTAATTAACGAAAAACAAAACAAAACTCCTGTGTTAAAAAATAAAAAATAAAACATTCCAAAGTCACCCTGAGGGAATGTAATATAATTAAAAAAACTTAAGTAAATTTAATTAAAACAACGACAACAACAAAACATTCGACGAGTTTTACTATAAGTTGTTCTTAGGTCGAGAAAATTGGTAGTTTTCTGGGGTCTCTCTCTCTCCATCCCTCTCTCTTTCTCTCCATCCATCCCTCCCTCTTATCCCCCCCTCTCTACCTTTCCTTCCCTCTCTCTCTCTCCGTCCTTTCCCCCTCTTTCTCTCCCCGTCATTCCCCCTCTCTCTCCCCTTCTTTATCTCACTTCGTTCTCTCACCATCCCCTCTCCCTCAAGCACCAGGGTAGTAGCCTGGTGAGCGTATGACGTACTTCTTAATCCCCTATAAATGTAATCCCTCATCGACGTAATCCCTTTTGAATTAACCTAAGAAGGATTACCTCACACGCCTCAGGGTGATGACGCTACGAGTGATAAGCTGAGAGGATTAACAGACAGACAGACAGACACAAAGACAGGTGTTGATAGGTACGTATATATGGTGAATGACAGACAGACAGACAGGTTTTGATAGGTATATGACTGAGATAAACAGACAAGTGTTGATAGGTATATGATGATTGACAGACAGACAGGTGTATGACTGACAGATACAGACAGACACACACACACACACAGACAGAAAGGCCTTATAACATTCTCTTAAGAAGGGCAAGAGAAGGCAGGTGGTACACAGAGGGTCAGGACAGGTGATCCATTCATTAGTGTTACCTGTGGCTCGCCTTACCTGTTGCAGTCACTCACACTCACCTGCCTCAACACACACACACACGCACTCACTCTTTCCTTCTGGTGTCTTGAAATCTTTGTATGTAAAAATTTGGAGAAAAAACAAACAAACATAAAACAATCTTATTCCTCATTTTCTCCTGCATCTCTTTCCTTCCCCCTCCTCTTCCTTCCTTCCTTCCTCTTCCTCCCTCCTCCTCCCGCTCTTCTCTTCCTTTCTTCCTCCTACAGTGAACTCCTCTTCCTTCCTTCCTTCCTCCTACTGTGTGTGTGTGTGTGTGTGTGTGTGTGTGTGTGTGTGTGTGTGTGTGTGTGTGTGTGTGTGTGTGTGTGTGTGTGTGTGTGTGTGTGTGTGTGTGTCATTACAACTAAACACTAATCATAATAAAAATAAATACTGAAGAACAACAAACAACAACACCTCCTCCCTGAACAAATAAAATCAATAACAATAACCTGGAGAACATAACTGAACACCTGTAATAACTAACTAAACAATAACAGCCATCATCACGGTCCACCAATCACAGAACACAACCACTGAAGCGTGATTGTGCAGATCTCTTTGATTTCACTATATACCTGTATTGTAGACCTGTGCATAATGTAAACTGTATTGTACACTGGTATGCTGTATATTGTTAACTATTGTAAACTGGTATATATTGTAAACTGGTATATATTGTAAACTATTGTAAACTGTTAATGAAGAACCACGGGATAAGTTTACTCCGGGTATGAGTGGTGGCCTGGGGTATATTGCATTTATTGTGCCTGTCTGTCTGTCTGTATCTATTTTTCTGTAAGTGTATTTGCGTCTGTCTATTTCTCTGTGAGGGATGAGAAGAGAGGAGGAGGAATAAGGAAGGAAGGAAGGAAGGAAGGAAGGAAGGAAGGAAGGAAGGAAGGAAGGAAGGAAGGAAGGAAGGAAGGAAGGAAGGAAGGGAGGGAGGGAGGGAGGAGAAGAAGAGGGAGGTGGAGAAGGGAGGTGGGAATAAGGAAGGTGAGAGGAGGGGGAAGGGATGATTAAGAAAGAATGAAAGGAAGGAAGGAAGAAAAGAAGGAATGAAAGGAAGGAAGGAAAGAAAGAATAAAAGAAGTATTAAACCATCGTCCCAAAGGTTAATAACAGCCTCCCTAATTAGCATTGTTTAAACAGATTAAAAATAAGAGAAACCAAACACCATATTTTTTCTCAATGAGTTTCGGGAAAAGTTTTAATGAGTTTGAACTATATAAGTGCCCCCCCTCCCCCTCCCCCTCCCACTCCATATATCTACATCCCCCAACCCACCCCCCCAACCCTCACCCTCTCTCTCACACACTAGAGAAAACAGCCCAGTATATCTCTCCACCATCAGGGAGAACCAGAGATAGAGACGTGGAGAATATCAGAGAAAGGAAGGGAAATAATCAAGTGTATTTATAACCACCTCATTCCTGACCTCCACTTTCTCTGTCTCTCTCTGTCTCTATCTCTCTCTGTCTCTATCTCCCTCTAACTCTCTACCAGATTCTCCACTGTCTCCAAACTAAGAGTAAACAACACAAACACATAAACAACAACAACAATAATAATAATAAAAGTAATAATATGTTAATTAATTGTTTTTCTTATTTGCTTTTCCTTGTGGTGGCGGCCTATAG